GCGCAGTCACGAATTGAAACCGACTATGTAGAGCAACAGAGAGGATGAAGCGCAAGAGTGGGGGGTGTCGTTCGTTTCCACTTCTTGCCTCACCCCCACTACCGCTTTTACGCCGAGTTGACTCTCCTGGTTCTAGTCTTCTTGTCTGCGTCATTAAGTGTGCGGTGACCAAGATGGTGGATATGTTGTAAGTTTGTTTTTTTTTTTCATGATTTCCCCTAGTCCAGACGCCTGTCGCCACCTAGCGGTAGCGGCGCGCTAAAGGAGATAGAGGGAAATTCAAAAGAAAAGGTCGGTAGCCTTCATGAAGGCTACAAGGAGTCTACGTAATGTGGGGGAAGGTTGGGATAGGAGAGGAAAGATATCATTGGGAGAGTTAGGATATTTATTTCGTAGAAAGAGACGAAGTTTGTGAGCTTTGTGGAAATATAGATTACATTCGTAAATAACGTGGTTGATGTTCTGATTTATTGCTCCACAGGGGCAAGATGGCGAGTTTATAAAGTTAACTCTGAATAGACTTTCATTAAGATTATAATGGTTAGATCTTAGCCGGTTAACCGTGACAATTTCTTCTCTATTAAGAGAAGTGTCCTCAAACCAGGTATTCTTAGTAGTTGATAACGTGCAAAGTGGAGAACTCCCTTGAATGAAGCCGCAGTCTTGAGGTAGTCTTTAAACTGTGCTGAAGCTTTATTGTTGGATTCATAGAAAAGATCTTCATGTGGTATACGAAACTCAGGAATAGTGCCATTTATTGCAGCGTCCTTAGCAATTGAGTCTATTGTTTCATTTCCTGTAATGCCAGAGTGCGATGGAATCCAGAAGAGAGCGATATTGGTACCTTCCTTGGAGGCGTTCAGGATGGATTGTTTAATATAATATATGATGTAGTTCCGTTGGAAATATTTGTTATTGCTGATTGCATCCAGAGCATTCTTAGAATCGCTGAAGATCGTAGTGTTGTTATGTCCACAGTCTCTGGCGAGCAGAGTCGCCTGATATATCGCCCAGAGTTCTGCCGAAAAGATCGAGGTTTGCGCAGGAAGTTTATGCGCGATGCTAATGCCCAGATCAGATAAGTACACCCCTGCTCCAACGGGGTTACCAGGCTCCTTAGAGCCATCCGTGTAAATGGTGATGGCGTTTAATCTGTAATCAAGAGATTTGTGTAAAAACTGTGGAGCAATAAATTCCGGCGGGTTATTTGTATCGCATTCGAGCATGTCTCTAATATAATTGATCTCACTGGATATGACTTCCAATTTGTGCCAAAAAGCGGTTGGATATGCAGATCGATGAATTGTTTTTTTTACATGTCTAGAGAGGACATAGGCCTTGAAAAGATTCCTGAATTGAAAGGAATCCTGAATGGCTTGGATTTTCAGATTTTTGCTGGTGGCTACCAAATCCATTTGCTTTAGAGCTAGGTAAGCGGGGCTGAACTTATGTGCCATAGCCTTGTATATGTATTTGGAGATAGAAAGAGTGAACCTGTGGTGTAGCGGTGGTTCTCTTGCCTCGCTTAACATAACATTAATGGGTGTGGATATCCGATATCCCATAGCTTTTCTGATAGCTTTGTATTGAATGCGAAGAAGCTTGGTGAATTCAGAAGATTGAATACTCCATGAGAAAAATTGGCAGCCGTATTCGATTGAACTTCTAAGGACAGAGCGATATATGGTGAGTAACAGTCCAGGATGTGCGCCCCATTTTATACCAGATAGAGCCATATTGATGTTTATGATATTCTGTCCTTTGTTGATGAGGTGTTTGAAGTGAGATTTGCCATTAAGTTTGTGATCTAGTATAACTCCAAGAAAGCGGTGCGAGTTTACCCTAGGGATTTCCATGTTGTTAACAGATAAAGAAGAGGCAGGAGAGATTTTTCTATTTAGAGAGATGATCCATTTGGATTTAGCAGGAGAAATTTCGAGGCCTCGATTCCTTAAATATGTGTATATATTGTTAAGTGAGTATTGAACGGAGTTGATAGCTTCTTCTATATTCCGGTGTGTAGAGTAAATGATTGCATCATCTGCGTATTGTAACAAGTTGGCATTCGTGTGAATATGTATAGGCATATCCTTGAGGTAGATGTTGAAAAGGAGGGGACTGAGGGTCGACCCTTGTGAAGTTAGACATTATATTCAATTAATTCTAATAGGTTTGTTCTTCTCGATACACGAGAAGTGTAAAGTGTATGTACACCATACACTTTTACACTCCATTTTTTGGGAGGGGGGGAAATGTCGTATAAAGTGTAGGCTTTTTAAGGAGAACGCCAAAGTGTACATACAACAGCTATTTACAGGGCTCAGTAAAATAACTGATACATGACCTATTTAAAATATAAAATATAAAATAAGTTCCAGAAACTTATTTTAAATATAAAATCGTAGGAGTCGATAAAAGAGTGATACGATTTATTCGAAATAATAAATATAAAATAGGTTCGAAAAATTTATGTAAAATATTAAATAAGAAATACGTCGCAAAAAATTATTAAAAATGTAAAATAAGAAATAGGATTCTAGAATGCATTTTATTTATTTAAAATATATAATAACTTTTATTTAAAATGTCAAACTAGCTTGCTTTTTTATTTTGAATTTCTTTTTGAAGAATATTCTTATTTTAAATAACAAATTGTTTTCGAAAATTTATTTAAAATAACCTATTTTATATTTAAAAGAAGTTCTTGAAATCTATTTTTTATTTTAAGTAAAAACTACATTTCAAAAACTAACTCAAAATATAAAATAAGAAATATGTATTTGAAATAAACGTTTTAAATAGGAAATACAAAATATTTAAATAATTTTATTTATATCTTGATATATGAACATACATTTGAGTATACATTTATAAGTTTATAACATTTCCGATTTTTTAC